TGGTTATGGATTGGCCATCATGTAGCCCAGACTTAAATCCGATCGAAAATCTATGGGCTATTGTCAAACGAAACGTGAAAAAACGCATGCCAAAAAATCTTGGCGAATTTGAACAGTATATGATCGAGGAATGGAATAAAATTCCCGAATCAATGTTAAAATCTTTGGTAAATTCAATGAGGAGGCGATGTAAGGGGGTGCTAGAAAAAAACGGCGAAACTATTTCATATTAAATTTTTTTTAATAAAGATATACAATGTATCACTACTACCAGTGTAAATCTCGTGTGACTTTGTGCAACCGTTTGATCATTACTGCATAATTTTCAATTTCCATTTTTTTTCTTAACAGTCACCGGACATGTCACATCAAATGTAATTATTATAACTACAAAATATGGTTACACAAACGTCCCCACACAAAAATTTTAATTATCGCGAAATCAATATTTAAAACATATTTTTCACTTCTAATAAAATCAAAATTTCACGTTTTAAACTTCACATTTCAAAAAAAATTTAAATACTTTATAATATTTTATATTTTATTATTTCCCTTTAAAAATAAGTCATATTTTTATGTTCAAGTCCAAGATCCTTTTTTGTTTTACAATATTTATTGGATCTCTAGCTTCCAAAATGTAGACAACTTCGAAGATAATATAATAGGATTATTTTTAATAAGCTAAATTATTACGTGTAAAAGTTTTAATATTGATGTATTTTTTAAGCAAAATAAAGTTATTCTTTAAAAAAAATTAAAGTTATTTTTACAAGCGTTTTTTTTGTTTTCTATTATAATAATAAGTTTTTATCCGGTTTACTGTCCAATTAGATGAAATTGTATTAAGTTCTGTTAATATATTACTAATTTCATTATCTGTAGGCATGGAATCACCTTCACAAATGGGATCTAATATATTTTTTTCTTCTACAGTGGTTTGTCTTTTATGTTTTTTTGTTAATTCATCTTGTAAAGTTGGTTGGATTTCTTGAGTTTTGGGTATGGTAGGAGTTACTTGAATTGATATTGTATTTTTATTGCTTTGTGACCGTTTTTTATTGTTATTTATATCTGCTCATTTTGATTTATTTATACCTGTAGCTCTTCGTCCCTTTTTATTAATTGAATCAATTTTTAAAATTTCCTGACGTACAATACTTTGTATTCGTATCACACCTTCATCATAGCATTTAGCTAATCTTGTATATCCTTCTATATTTAATTGTTTCAGTTTAAATTTTTTAAATAATTCATTTTCTAGAAAGTTCTCCATTTCGAATACTTCAATTAGGTTATCAGCAAGTTTCCAAATAGTATCTTTTCGTGATGCGATCGCACGACCATTTTTAGCTTTTACATGATCATCAATATATTCAGCAAATAATAAATCAATACGTTCTCTTTCTGATTCTTTCTGATTGAGCCGATTTTATTTGTTGTTTTAGATTTTCTTCATTAATTACATTTCCAGTTACATTTTGTTTTATGAATTTTACACCCAGCGCTTCTAATGCTTCATCATAAGTATAATAATGATTTCTTTGTGTAAGATTAATAGAGGCAGAATGTCGAAGTGTCTGTTGAAGTTGTGGATATTGAGCAATAATTGAAATAAAGTGTGCTACTGAATGAGTATAATTTGACTTTTCCGCAATTGGAAACTGAGGAGCAAATGAAGTTAAACAATTATACTGAAGGTCAAAATTTTCTGTTCTGATTCCTAACTTATGAGCTTTCCATATTCCAGCCCATTGATAATAATGGAACCATACTTTGAGTGGAATATTATTGTCATTAACTATATCTTCTATTTTTTTGTTTGTTTTTTTTAAATATACATGAATAGCAATACCAACTGCCACCCAAATTAATTCAAGAACACGAACTGTTGAACGATAATCAATCACAGATTCTAATTTATCAAGAAATCGAACACCAAGTGCAATTGCAAGATCAAATATCCCGTAACTAGAGAAAATTACCAAAAGTACTGAACACATATCTTTATTAGTGTGCCATGCTCCTAGAATTGGTCTTACAAATAGATTTAATTCCCGGTAACGTAACAATCGTCTAAAAATAGCCTCATCTGCACAAATATCAATATATTTATTATTTTTTA